TAATGGCGGCCGCCGCCGTCTCGGCTTCGGCTGACGACAATCGTTTCGGCCGAGCTGGCAGGGCCGGCGGAGATGAGTTCGTCACCACTGTCACCATCGCCTTCGATTTCGCCGTCGTCGTCGCCATCGCCGCCGATGTCGAAGCCTGGCTCGGCTTCAGAAATTTCGAGGCGTCGGGCTTGCGACGGCGCTTGAGGCGGCGGTGGATCCAGACGAAGAGAAGACAAAAGGCCGACAAAAGGAGCAAGTTGAATGCGCCCAACATGATGATGCCGTAGGTGAGGCGGATGGCCGACAGGTCTGAGATGGCATCGGCTTGACCGAACCGAGGCTCGGTAATGTTGCCTCTATCGACTGCCTCCGACGGTCCGGGTGTCGTGGTGCGACGCACATTTTTGGCTCTGACCGCTACACTGGTTACCGTAGTGACCACTGGCGGGTGCTCTTTCTGTGTTTGCCTGGTTTTAGTTTGGCCGACAGGATTAGCCACATCTGTCTCCCGTCTTGCGGCGTTAGCAAAGCCAGGCAGCATAGACGGGCTTGCTGACCCTATTGGCTCGGGCGTCATGTCAACCGAAGCTTCTGTTGTCGCTACCGCCAGCAGACTCCGCATGGTAACAGGCTCCGAAGGCGGCGGAGTCGAGATCCATTCAGTCGCGAGTCGAGTGACGCCGGACGCCTGGGTAGAGACCGCCTCCGAGGAGGGAGCAGACGTCTTCTCCGCCTCGGCCACGAAGGACCGGCCGACCGGACGCAAGCAGTTCATCTGCTTGTTCAACTGGTACTTACTCATCCTTTCCTCCAGCTCTTCCGCCTCCTCTCGGCACTGCGAATAGTAGAGCATTTGGTCGCCGGTCCGACGTGATCTCTCTAACAGAGCCAAGAAGTCTGGATCGCCACTCGGCGTCTCTGGGACGACCAGATACTCCGCTTTTGTACGCCAATAGTCAGTGGCGGAACTCGCCGTCGTCTCCTCTTCAGAGCAGATGGGATATCGCAACCTCCAGCGCCGACAGCTGTACACATCGTTACAGTGATTAAATTTGATACGCCACTTTCTCCATGGCAACCAGAGATGCT